AAGTACTTTTGTTCTGCAAAATAATGTACTGCCTTCCCCAGCACAGAATTTCTAAGTGAAAATCATATGCAAATCTTGAAATTTCTAACACTTAATAAGTGGCTGACAGATCATCAAAGCTTTCAAAGTCACTTGGTTAACTCTACTAGTGAGGGGGGACATCCAAGCGAAGGCAATTCAATGTTGCGTTGGATGGTCCTTCCGAGCAGCATGCTCACTGAACAAGACACTGAGGTGCCAGCGTCCCAGCTTCCACAAGGTTAACCTATAAGAGCTATGCATCACTCAAGGCAAATATCACTGGATTTGATCCCCTTCGTCACAAGGTTCAAACACCCACTGTCTGTCATTTGCCTTTTCAGAACTGAAATCCAGAATAATTGTTGCTCAATTAAAGATTTCCTCCTCTTGCCTCTAGATACCATCTGTTTAAAACTACTGTCCCCAACAAATCACACACCCATGTGCACACACCCCACTGAATCACAGAGATGACACACCTAAGTCAAATAATATCCTCTAACAACTCTGACCAATTGCTCATCTACTTTTGAGGATTTCATTAGCAAGCTTGGAAGAATGATTCAGCAGTCGACAGCAAGTATTTATAAAGCTGAAAAGTATCAAATATTCATAAACAGTTCCTGTAGAAATTTGACTTTCATAGCTTTTTTGACTTTTAATACATGCGCCCAAGTCACTTTCCTTTCGCGCACATTTCAACATTATTGACATCTCCCAGTTTAAAAACCAGAGCAGCTTCCATAAAATAAAAACATTTACTCAAAACAATAGTGAAATGGTAATTTTGATATACAATTATAAATCTTCTAATATCCTTTAAAAATTTTTTCTTCTTGAAAAATATATTGTAGTTTAGATCATTATGTATAAAAGGTGCTGTACAGATATTACTAGTCTTCTCTCATCTTCTCTATATAGTTGATAATCTCAAGTTAACATAAAAACAACTCTGAGACCACCACTTACTGGTCATCTTGCACTCAGGCATAATTACAAAAAAATTATTATTTTTGAAAACACAATTTGGAAAATGTATTACATACCACCAAATCACCTTTCAGAATTAATGTTTAGGTGTTTAGTCATTTAATACTTTTATAAACTGCTATACTACAATTTAAAATTGATATGAATTTGAAAAATAGAAAAAGCAAGCAGCACATGAAATCTATTTTGATTTGCGGATTTCAATGGTTTTTAATATTTAACTAAATGTAGAAACATCAAATGACCGGTCATTTCAAAACATAAAGTAGAATTATAAGTAATCATTCCTTTATTATTTCTATTTTCATTTTAATACTTATCTTTTAAAGGTTACCAAAAATGTGTAATTCTCTATGACATTACCTAGAACCACATGAAAAAATTATTACTTTTTCAAAATGGGAAACTAAACATCCAACTCAAAGCCAAATCAAAAGCAACCTGACAGTTTGATACAAATTTTACCTTAATATATGGTATATCCACACATGGAACCCATATAATTAAATCCAGGCATTAACTTCCAATTCAACAAATTCTTGATATAGGAGGCTACCATGTGCTTTAACCTCTTAAAGTCTTTTCTGTTGCTACAAAATTAAAAATTGATGCAGCAAAAGCCTTTGTTGGAAGAAGGGCCTGAGGTTGGGTGTTGGTTTTTGTGTTTTTTTTTTTTTCTTTTTGGTATTTAATTCAACTATACACAATGTAGTACATACAAGCAAAATACAATTGAGATACTGTTTTCTTTAACATTCCTATAGGAGACCAAATTCATTTGCATTGGACAGAACACAATTACTGATTTTTAAGTCATGAAAGACAAATTCATAGCTTTTTCCTACACTACCTCATAGTATTCACACCATCTCAGTGAAAGCATGTCTGGCACCACTTAGTTACTTCCTAGAAGTGGGCAGAAATTACATTTTTCAAAGTTTTGTTTCTCGCAGAATCATTCAACTTTAGTTACAAAGCACATTCAGGTTAGCAAGTGTCTTAGCTCAAAACAATTTACACAGTGTGTGTGTATACATATATACACACACACATACAAAACTAAACTCTCGTCAACATCAAAAATGAAATTTCTATCAAGGAAATTTCCACAACTTTTCAAAAGAACTTGAAAGCCTTTACCAGTTTGTTTCTCATTAAGAAATCTTTGTTTCATATATACTACCAAGAAACATGAATAGAGAAAAAAAGATCCAAAGATTTTTATTCAACAGAGCCTGAAACCAACTTAGTAAGAGAAATAGATGGTTTATATATGGTTTACATTACAATAATTTGCATTTAACAAAAATTAAACACGTGGCAAAAAGAAAAAAGGGTTTTCTATTTCTGCGTGACCTGAGAAAATAATGGTATCCGGTCTGTCTACTATAATAGCACATATAAAATGATGCTAGAAGTGATATACAAAAGATCCAATTGGTAAGCCAAGTGGCATGCCAATAATTTCATAACTTAAGATAAAAACATCTCCTCCCAAAGTATCATTAACTTAAAAAAAAATCAATTTCAGAATGTAGACATTAAAACTGATTCTTGAGAACACAAAGAAATCAGAACAATATAGAGTATAAGCATTCAATTGCTGAATGATTATTTAAGTAAGCAAGCAATGAACATGAATTGTTTTCTTCACATTTTCACTTCAACTAACACAAAAACCACATATAGAACTGACTTGACACTGACAAATTTACTCCTAACTTGTTAATTTTCATAGAAATGCAACAAAAGAACACCAAAATAGTCACTATATAACATAAAAGCTTTGGTTTCAAATGTCACAGTACCCTGCTTTTTGAAAGCCACCACCACCGTGGTAGTGCCCTGTGCATGAGAACATACAGCTGCTTCATCCCAGAGGTCTGAGCTCAGTACACACCATTCCCTAGCTATCTCGCCCTTAGCCTGCAGTACAAGTAGCTAATTCCTGCATTTTAAACTAATAAAGGAAAGGAAAAAAAGATTAAAACCATCCAATCAGAAATGATGTAACCCTCTACAGCAACAGCTTATGCATACATTTGGTATGTCNAAAAAAAGATTAAAACCATCCAATCAGAAATGATGTAACCCTCTACAGCAACAGCTTATGCATACATTTGGTATAGACATCTTCAGTGTAGTGAATCATACACAGCGCATTTCAATCTGCCTCCTAGGTATTTCATATCCCCCACATGTTCAAAGAAATCATGAACTAATAGGGCTGTATAAGTCCTAGACTGCTCTTTATTTAATTAATACTAAAAATTTGGGATACCCTCTTAATTCTGAACTCTTATAAAACACCACAAAATTATTTAAGTGAAACTCCAGCTAACAGCAAATAACCTCTGCCTTTTGAACACAAAAAAGTAAAAAAGTAGTATGTTTGTGAGAAGTTTTAAGAGATGTTAACAACTTTAGATAAAGTAGTATTTCACTTATATTACAACATGAAATGAGACACCAACTCACCAAAGTTAAAATAGCACTGATTTTTACAAATTATAACCTAAAAAAAAGACTCAAAACAGCTATATTGCCAATACAATTAGGCATTTATAGAAACATAGCCAATTAAATATTTTTAGGTGGTTCTTTCAAACTTTGGCCAACATATTCAAATTTTCAAGTGCTGTAAGATTAATAATTTAAATTTACAACAAATACTTAATATATCAGAAAGCTACAACTTGGATTTCTCAAGCAAAAAAGAAATTGAAGTATACAAATTTAGAATACTTAATTGAAAAACTAACCAGTTACACATTAGATCTTTTCCTAGAGAGAAGAACTAGCTTAATATTACACAGGAAACTGCAAACCATAACTTTTACCTCTTTTTTTAAAAGGTATTAAGTAGTTTTCTGATATGCCACAAAATCATTTGCAAACAAAAGATATTCTGTTGCTTACTTAAGATAAAACATATCTGTAAATGTGCACACAATTTTTAAAAACTTCTTTAACAAAATATCTAAGTATTCATTAAATTTGGATAGTTTGTTTTAAAATCTATTCAATCCTGGCAAAAATCAAGTAAATGGTTACACTATTGCATATCAGAGATTTTAAAGGCAGTAAATCAAAGGCTTCACTTAGAGTCTCTCCAATTCAGCTACTTAATGACTAATGGTGAAGAAATGTATGTGAATGGGATACAAGCTAAGTTACAACACACAGGAGAAAAAAATCGAGAATGAGTAATACAGGGTCCAAATTTAAAGTCCACAATAAACTTTGAAACAAAGATGTTCTCCATCATTCTCTCCTCATGGACAGATATTTCTCATTGTAAGCAAATCGCAGGAGAATTTCAACCTCCACAAACCTTTTTATTCCATTAGTAACAGTGCACTTAACTATAGATTTCACGGTGATATTTGTTTAGCCTCAAACATATCTTAAAAGCAACAGCAACAACAACAAAACGCTCAGAAGCAATATTCAGCAGTCTCAGTGACTACAAAAGTCTGGTTTTTAACTGCCATCCAATCCAAACAACCCACTTCTTTAGAATACTATGCAAAATATTGACCATTTACTGTATTATTTTATTATTCAACATTAATCTATCTAAAAAAGAAAACTAATTAATCGCTAAGTTTAGTTAAGCAATTTAGCTGACACAGTAAATATTTACTCAACATCTCACAGGAAGTCTTGACAAGCATTTGTTGCCATTGTGCTGGGGGTAGGGGTGGGAGGCAAGTTTTGACAAACAAATTAAACAGTCCCAGCGAATTCGACATAGCTAGTGTTCGACATCTCCCCCCAACACACCCCAATAAGGGACCAGATATTTTCCAAGACCAGTAAACACCTTATATAATGAAAGTAAAAAAACTAACTTTCTAAACTATGTTATCTCCACTAACAAAACAAACAAAAGCCTTTTTACAAAACTACCAAAGCACATTTTTTAAAACAATTCATTTTCTTTATACGTAAGTCAATCATAAAATAACTAAGCGAAATATATTTACCTGAGCTTTTTAGAGACTGAGTAATCAACTTCCATGATTTTCCCATGCAATTCCACTTTACCTTTAAAACAGAAATTAAAGCACTCAGAACCTTCCCCGTATGTAACTGGCGGGGGTCTAGGAGGGGCACGCGCACAACTCCGCGCTCGGGCTCCGCCTTCGCGTGCCCTCAAGGGGTCTCCCACCCGGCTCCAGCTGGGCAAACTTGGTTCCCAGTGGGAAGAAACATGGGCGCCCCGGTCTCGGGACGAAGTGGGCAGGGTGTGAGCCCGGATCCGACCCCAGGTATAGCAGTGGGTGGCATTACCGGAAAAACAAATTTAATAAAGAGCGGCGCCAATTTGAAAGGATGAGCTCATTTGAAACTCAAGCTGCAGGGCTGGCGAGGCCCCGCTTCTCTCGGCCCCCACCTCTCCATTCCGCTACCCCGGGTCCCGAAGGCTCCGCCGCGCTCCCTTCCCAGCCCCCTCCTCCCCTTGGCCCCCAGAAGACACGCAGAAACCCCCTGGGGTTCGCCGCGGCCAGAGGCTAGTCCCCGCCGGCTCCTGGGTGTCACCTTGGCCTCAGCGCCACCCCGCCCCCACTCCGCGCGCTGGTGGGGAAGGGGCTCCGGCCGGGCCGGGTCAGCGGGG